ATAAAGAGTCCATAAGCCCCAATATGCCCACCGACAGTCTTAAAGGGCCATACACACCAAATAAAAGTGCACACATTTTCACAATCTCCCAGGGGCCATAGTCATGCGGGAGGAGGCTGGCAAATAGGCTTCTCCACAACCCAGGGAAGCAGGGCAATTTGCCATTTAGCGGCCCTACAAATAGTGCTTCAGGGCGCGGCAAAAAGTCAATCCATATCCGCCAAGTGACCAGCGAACCCAGTCCCATTCCTGCTCTGTGTCAGTGTGTATCAGGGAACCTTAGGACAGGTGTCAATCCATATCTGCCAAGTGACCCAATGTAGGGGAACAGTCCCTATTCTGCTCTGTGTCAGTGTGTATCAGGGATCCTTAGGACAGGTGTCAATCCATATCTGCCAAGTGACCCTATGTAGGGGGACCAGTCTCTATTCTGCTCTGTGTCCGGGTGCATCAGGGGCTCTGAGGACAGGTGTCAATCCATATGTCAAGGTGTCAATATGTCATATGTCAGGTGTCAATCCATATTGATTGTGATTTAGGAATGTTAGGTGATTTCTGCCCTTTATGGATTAAAACCAGACTCTGTATCAACTGTGTAATTTTCCATGGGAGTTTTGCCATGGATCCCCCTCCGGCATGCCACAGTCCAGGTGTTAGTCCCCTTGAAACAACTTTTCCATCCCTATTGTGGCCAGAAAGAGTCCCTGTGTGTTTTAAAATTCGCCTCCCCATTGAAGTCAATGGCGTTTCGGGCGGTTCGCGAACATTTGCGGAAGTTCGCGTTCGCCGTTCGCGAACCGAAAATTTCGGGTTCGCGACATCACTAGTTATCTGCACCCCCAGGTATTTAATGGAGGTTGTAGCGCATATGAATGGGTATGAGCTTTGTATTCTGATTGCTTGTTTTTTAGGGACATTTATATTTAGGATTTCACATTTCTTTGTATTGATTTTAAAATTGGAAAGATCGCTCTATCTGTCTAAAACTTTCATTAGGGAGGGAAGACTTGACAAGGGATTTTCGATGGTGAATAGTAAGTCATCCGCGAACGCTGAGACTTTATACTCCCTGTTCCCTACGTTAATGCCTCATAAGTCGGGTCTCCTACGTACTTCCTGTAAGAGGGGTTCTAACGTCAAAATAAATAGGAGGGGTGATAAGGGGCAACCTTGGCGAGTACCATTGCTTATCTTGAAAGGCCTAGACAGTTGCCTGTTCACCTTCAGCCGCGCAGTTGGAACTGAATACATAGCCTTGATCCATGTGAGCCATCGATTTCCAAAGCCCAGGGCTTCTAAAGTTAGTATAAGAAATGACCAGTCCACCCTGTCGAAGGCCTTCTCTGCGTCTATTGCCAGCATGAGGGAAGGCGTCCTGGATTTAGAGGCTAAATGTATCAGGTTGATAATTTTGGTCGTGTTGTCTTTTGCTTCTCTTGCTGGGACAAAGCCAGCCTGGTCAGGGTGGACTAGTTCTGTCAACCTAGATGCCATCATTTTGGTGAGAATCTTGATGTCCACATTTATGAGCGATATAAGTCTATAGCTCGCGCACCTCTCCAAGTCTTTCCCTGGTTTAGGCAAAAGGGTGATGGATGCCTCTAGTGTTTGTTTGGGTATAGAATGTCCCGATGGGATGGAATTTATTGCCTCTAGAAAATGATCCCTGAGTTCCTTTCGGAATGTCTTATAATATATGGCTGAGAATCCATCTGGGCCTGGGCTTTTGTTAAGAGGAGCTTGTTTAATGGCCATCTGTAATTCAGCTAAGGAGAATGGCTCCTCTAGAGATCTGGCGGCCGCCGCGGGTAGGGTAGTGTCAAATTTGTCTGCTAGATATGACATGATTTCCTCGATTTTTGGGGGCCCTGTTTTGTAAGTTATATAAGGAGGTGTAGTATTCTCTGAAGGACTCTGCTATGTCCTCTGTGGTGGATGCTAACGTGTTGTTGGTGTGTTTTATCCTGGGGATGTAAGTCTGGGATTGCTTTTGTTTCAGAGCTTCAGCAAGTAATTTGCCACTCCTGTTTCCCTGCGAATAATATAAGTGTTTGGTCCATAGTAGGGCCTTTTTAGCATTGTCTAGGAGGAGTGAGTGGGGTTCCTTTCTTAATGCTATAAGTGCTCGAAATATGGGATCAGTAACTCTGCGATCCGTTTGTGTTTGGGTTTTTTTTGGTCTGTGCGCCCCATTTTATTAGTGCCCCCCATATCACTGCTTTGGGTGAAAACTGTTGTGTCAGGAGTCTTATTTTCTTTGAAGTAATGTGTGATGGATGCTGCTACCGCTTGTTTTATTTGTTCTAAGTTAAGTAAGTTTGGATTTAGTTTCCATTGCCCTGTAGGGTGGGGGAAGGAGGGAATATTCAGGGAGATAGAAACCGGTGCGTGGTCTGACCAAGTAGCAATTCCTATGGACGATTCTGTTATTAAACCCAGGTCTCTGTGTGTCGTTAAGAAAAAATCTATACGCGAATACGTATTGTTTGGGATTGAGTAGTGAGTAGTGAGTGTAATCTTTTGTTGTCGGGTGTAAGACCCTCCAGCAGTCTACTAGTTGGTTGGTATGGAGAATATGCTGCATTTGGTGCCATGCCGAGGCCATATGTTGAGTTTTGTGTGAAGTGCTGTCTTTGGAGGCATCAAGTGAGATGTTAAAGTCTCCCCCAATTAATAGTGTTCCTTGTGTGTTTTGTTTAATTTTTGCCAGGATTCTCTGAAAGGTGCCACATTGGTGTTTATTTGGGAGGTAGATCCCTACCAGGGTGAGTGGTGAGGTTCCTATCCAGCCTTGTAGTATTAGGTATCGGCCTGAGTCATCTGCTATATGGTTAGAATATGTAAAGGGACCCCTGATTTTATCAAGATCGCAACTCCCCGTGACTTACTTTTACCATAATTGTTGTAATAGACGTGCGAGAATCTGGGATGTCTGAGTAGTGGGGCGTTCCTGCCCCTTAAATGCATTTCTTGCAGAAAAATGACATCTGCCCCTGTTCTTACTAGTTCTGTGAGCACCATCCTTCTCTTTTCCGAGGAATTGAGGCCCCTAACATTTTGTGATAGAATTTGGATTTTACCCATTTCTAGTTCCAGGTATCTATAATCCTGTTGATTTGTTTTCCTAGAGTGCTCTCTGTCGGACAACAGATACCTAGAAGTATTGTCTGGCTCTGGGACGGTTGTAGTGTCTTTGGTATAATGCGCCTTGTAGAACTAGTATTCCACTGAATTCAGTGGCTCGATTGCACGGAAACAGAGAACCTTGAATTAACAACTATATACAACTATATACAATACAGAAACAATGAATAGTAAACCAGTAGTCTCTTGTTTTGGTCGCCTAAGAGACTTTGAGGACTAGAAAAGTTGTAAGAAAATAAACAAAGTTGTTAATATTAGAGGCCAAGTGCACAAAATAGTGTAGTGTCTGAATTCTATTTTGTCTTTTTTTTTTTTCTGCTTTCCTTTCACCCTTGTTTGTTTGGATATATATACTTCTCCTTCTGTGCCCTATGGCCTCTATCAGGGAGTCGGTACTTAACCCTGAGAATTCCGAGTTACAATAACTGGATCAGGGGGGTCCTCGTAGTATACAATGATAAATAGAGAATTATGTATTTCTTTAAATTGTACTGCTCTGGGCCTTTTACGGTCCCAAAAAAAATGTGGCGTCGCGTGTTGTCAATTAGAGCGTAACGTACTTGTTGCTCAGCTCTATGACCAACCAATAATCCCTCGTACCTCAGAGGGTATAGGTTGTGCTAACCAAAGATCCCAATGTGTGGACAGCGCTCCCCCTAAGCGGCAAGTGGACTTCTATACATGTTTAGCCTGGGATGATGTGAGCAAGACGGGTCATCAGTGTGTGTGCAGTGGCCTTTTTGGGTCCTAGTGTTGTATAAGCATAAAATCACATTCTCATGTCAAGTGTTTGTGCTAGGTCCCCGACCCTCCCACCTCTACGTGTGACTTTCAATAATTACCGCTGCATAAGTGGTGTCACCTGCACATACTCTTATTCTAATGATGTGTCTCTGCATGTCGTGAATAAGTGCCCCCTTTATCTCACAATTTGCAATCTCGTTCTGTGGAACTGGTAACGGTCACAAAAAAAGTATCATACAAGCATATTTACTGTCCCGGGTTTCATGGGGTATGGGAACAATTAAACATTGTAGTAATTACTCAGTCAACTCAACCAAGTGGTGTATTGATTTATTTTGACAGTTCTTATCGGATCCGTCTTGGAGTCGCCGGTTGGCGCTTGGGTCTCAGGAGGGGTGAAGTAGGTGGTGATTTCCACGGTTGTTTCCTCCAAGGGTCCTGAATGCGGCTTCTTTGGCATTGGGAGGGCGCTAGTTGGGCCTCTGAGTCCGTTATGTTGTACCAGTCATTTACCTCCACCTCTGGGATACCTAGGCGTCTTGTGAATTCCGGTACCTCTGCCGCAGTCGTGAGTGAGGCCTGGGTCCCCTGGTGGGATGCAGTGAGGGAGAATGGGAAGCCCCACCTGTATTTGATTCCTGCTTGTTGCAGGGCCTGTGTAACTGGTCTCAGAGCCCGCCGTCCTCTAGGTGTTATCCAAGATAGATCTGGGAGCAGCTGGATTTTCACATTATTGAATATTATGTCTGCAGTTTCTCTGGCGCTTCTCATAATCTCCTCTTTCTCTGAGTGATAGTGCACCCTGCAGATAATGTCCCTGGGGGTGTCTTGAGTCAGGCCCCTCTTCCGACCTTTGTAGCACTCTGTTGAAAAGGGCTTGTAGTATAGAGGGAAGGTCCTCAACTGCACCCTGTGCCTCCGGTAAGCCACGTATTCTTATATTGTTTCTCCGACTTCTATTGTCGAGATCTTCTGTATGTTTCATAGTATATAAGATTTTGGCATCTCTGCTGTCTTGGCCTTGTTCCAATTGGAGCAGTCTGTCCAGGATTTGATCTCTTTCGTCTTCTAGATCGCCTACCCTGTTGCTGATCTGTTTAACCTCAGATGTCAGCGTGGATAGTTTGTCCTGCACCGAAGATTCCAGTTTAGTCAGCATTACTGCTATTTCATCTTTTGATGGCGTCCGGCAGTCTTCCAACTCTGCGCCTAATATGGTGACGGTATCTCTGAAGTATTTGTCTAATTCTCTGGGTTTTTTGCCCGATCCCGGGTCCTGAGTGTTCGCCAGCATGGTAAATTTTTTTATGTTTCCCATTGGAGTTCTTAGGAATGCTTTAGCCTGGCTGTTTAGATTATGCTTTGGGGAGCTCCGTTGCAGTGCGTCTGTTCACATCGGAAGTTAAGTCACGCCCCCGACTCTCTGACTTTTTTAATCGGGATGTCGCTGCTGTTATCATCAGACATTTCCATTTCCTCTTCTCGACGGATCCCCATGAGCTGTTCACTGTGTGCATTTCGCAGTTCTTTGGAGAGATATTTACCATTGCTGGAATCTGTCACCTCTTTGGCTTCTTTAAGTTGTTCCTTGAGAACGTTGACAAGCGCTTGAGCATGAGTCTGCTCCTCGTTGGCTTTTTCAAGTTCACTCTTGTTCATAACTTCCAGGAAGAGCCCATCTTCAATTGACATTGCTTCCTGATTGTCATCCTTTGCTCTCCTGAACACTGTGCATCCTAAGTCGTCTTGGTCCCTGTCATAGATATTGCTGTCACAGAGGGAACTTAGGAGAGGAAGAAGTACAGGGTTGCTGTGTGGTAGCTCCTTTATGAGGATGTGATTTTGGCAGGGCTGTAAAAGAGAAGGATGACCATTCTCTAGTGTACGAGTGAGTAAGTTATTAACAGATACCGGTTTGTGTGTGCTCCCCAGGCAAACATCGCCTATAATGACCCATCCAAGATCGAGTTTTTGGGCATATGGGGCGTTGTGAGGACCATTAATCTGCTTTCGTGCTTTGTGGGCTTGCAAGATATCCCTCCCTAGGTGTAAGCTTATCTGAGCCTGATCATCTAGTTCTGATATGAGATGTGCTATGTGATTCAGGTGAGTCTGGTGAACTGCTACATCTGGTGTGGGGATCTCAGATCTGTTGTCTGGGATCTGATTGCACTCTATTGTGGTCGGTAAGGGTAGGCATGTCTTACCATCCATAGACTCGATTTGTAGGCCGTCAGGTCTTCTCCCCGCCGTCTCCACTGTACCTGCACAGGTTCTAAGGGAGTAAGGATTGCTGGGGCCCTTAACATTCAGAATATCAAAAAACACAGACCTAGCTAGTGACTTGTTGCTCTGATCATTCAAGATGGCGTAGTGCTTGACTGCTTTATCTCTGTGTCCTTTTGGGTAAACTTTTACTAGACAGATTTTGGAGCAAGATCTGCTACCTGTAATTCCTTTGCAGACTTCAGTGCACTGTAAAGTGATTGCTATTTCATCTGTACTAGTCTCTTTGGCCTCCCCGCCATGCTCCTTGTTACTATGGGCAGGTGGGAAGGTTCTTGGAGCTGGCCCTGGGTGCAGAGCTGTGTTATGATCTGTACTGTCGCACTCTGTACACTTGACACTGACCTTACAGTCTTGGCAAAGTGAGTTGTAACAGATGTTGCTCTCCTTGAGGAAGGCTTTTCGATCACGGATGGTCTTTGCCCTGAAGGTTCTGCATTTCAGAAGAGGGTGTTGCCCCTTATACAGAGGGCAGAACATAGCAGTGTCACTGTCTTAATCCTCTGGCTGAGACTCTGCAGATCTGTGGGAAGAAATGTTAGTTTTGTGCACTGCTACTGGAGTCCTGAGTTGCTTAGGGCCAGAAGAAGTGGCATAAGACACTGGGAAAATGAAACTGGGGTTGTCTTTCGTTCCTGCTTGTCTGTCTACAAAGTCCACAAACTCTGTAAAGGGTGGATGAGGTACATTGTGTTTTCGTTTGTAGTTACAGCCATAAGTGATCCATCTTTCATGCAACTCATAAGGAAGTTTTTGTGCTAAGGAGTTAATACCTCTAGCTGAGTCAAGATGAGAAAGGCCGGGTAAGTCTCCTTCTGCTTTAGCAACTCGTAACTCCATACACAGGTCGCTGAATTCTCTGAGTCTTTGGTAACCTTTGCTAGGTATTTTTGGGAAGTCCTCTATCCTTTTAAATAGTGTACTCTCTATAGCCTCTGGTGAGCCATAACATCTATCCAGTCTGCTCCAGATGTCTGTAAGGCCTATCTCTGGGTGGTTTATATTAATGTCTCTCATCCTATGTGCATTCTCAGCAGAATCATTACCAAGCCACTTTACAAGGAGATCTATCTGCTCCCTGCAGGATGGCACTCTGGAAAGAAGATCGCCATGCCCTGTAATGCTGGGGGTGATCACTGAATTTGGAAAGTCCTTGGATAACTAACTTGTTTTGCAAGGAACTTGGCAAGGTCTACAGGGAGTGCAGAATTATAAGGCAAATGAGTATTTTGACCACATCATCCTCTTTATGCATGTTGTCTTAATCCAAGCTGTATAGGCTCGAAAGCCTACTACCAATTAAGCATATTAGGTGATGTGCATCTCTGTAATGAGAAGGGGTGTGGTCTAATGACATCAACACCCTATATCAGGTGTGCATAATTATTAGGCAACTTCCTTTCCTTTGGCAAAATGGGTCAAAAGAAGGACTTGACAGGCTCAGAAAAGTCAAAATAGTGAGATATCTTGCAGAGGGATGCAGCACTCTTAAAATTGCAAAGCTTCTGAAGCGTGATCATCGAACAATCAAGCGTTTCATTCAAAATAGTCAACAGGGTCGCAAGAAGCGTGTGGAAAAACCAAGGCGCAAAATAACTGCCCATGAACTGAGAAAAGTCAAGCGTGCAGCTGCCACGATGCCACTTGCCACCAGTTTGGCCATATTTCAGAGCTGCAACATCACTGGAGTGCCCAAAAGCACAAGGTGTGCAATACTCAGAGACATGGCCAAGGTAAGAAAGGCTGAAAGACGACCACCACTGAACAAGACACACAAGCTGAAACGTCAAGACTGGGCCAAGAAATATCTCAAGACTGATTTTTCTAAGGTTTTATGGACTGATGAAATGAGAGTGAGTCTTGATGGGCCAGATGGATGGGCCCGTGGCTGGATTGGTAAAGGGCAGAGAGCTCCAGTCCGACTCAGATGCCAGCAAGGTGGAGGTGGAGTACTGGTTGGGCTGGTATCATCAAAGATGAGCTTGTGGGGCATTTTCGGGTTGAGGATGGAGTCAAGCTCAACTCCCAGTCCTACTGCCAGTTCCTGGAAGACACCTTCTTCAAGCAGTGGTACAGGAAGAAGTCTGCATCCTTCAAGAAAAACATGATTTTCATGCAGGACAATGCTCCATCACACGCGTCCAAGTACTCCACAGCGTGGCTGGCAAGAAAGGGTATAAAAGAAGAAAATCTAATGACATGGCCTCCTTGTTCACCTGATCTGAACCCCATTGAGAACCTGTGGTCCATCATCAAATGTGAGATTTACAAGGAGGGAAAACAGTACACCTCTCTGAACAGTGTCTGGGAGGCTGTGGTTGCTGCTGCACGCAATGTTGATGGTGAACAGATCAAAACACTGACAGAATCCATGGATGGCAGGCTTTTGAGTGTCCTTGCAAAGAAAGGTGGCTATATTGGTCACTGATTTGTTTTTGTTTTGTTTTTAAATGTCAGAAATGTATATTTGTGAATGTTGAGATGTTATATTGGTTTCACTGGTAATAATAAATAATTGAAATGGGTATATATTTGTTTTTTGTTAAGTTGCCTAATAATTATGCACAGTAATAGTCACCTGCACACACAGATATCCCCCTAACATAGCTATAACTAAAAACAAACTAAAAACTACTTCCAAAAATATTCAGCTTTGATATTAATGAGTTTTTTGGGTTCATTGATGTAAAAAACTAGATGAATGGATGTTCATGTGGAATCTTCTTAATTTCTTCTTATCTTCAGTTGATTGATATATATACGTCTTTTGTATATATAGTCTTGGGCCAAATGCTCGCCACAATAATATATGTCTATATTATTGAAAAGTAGTAATACGCAATCTGACTTACGGTTTCTTCAGGTTTATTCTTAGTTACGGATACATAAAACATAATATAGGATATTACAGGATAGTAGACATTCAACAGCAGATGGTAATTGCTGGACTTCTGATGGGAGAGTTACATCGTTGTACAGAGCCAAGCCAAGAGTGAGACTGAGAGACCTCGTGTCCCTCTGTTACTATATCGAAGTGCTAATACTAACATCAGCATATAACTCTAGCCATATAAGGACAAAACCCCCACATCCACATTCCAGAGCTCTCGGACAAAGAAAGCCTTGTGACTTATTGATACCATCTGTTACTTATGTCAATCCACACATCCATATATATAATCAATAGAAACATAGAATATGCAATATTCTACAATTGAGAACATGGTTGTTGTTCAATAATAAAATTAATCCTCAAAAATACAACTTGCCTAATAATTCTGCACTCCCTGTACAGAAGCCTGATTGGCATTTGGGTAGGCTGTTGGTGTATTGTGGTGTGGTGTACCTGGTAGGAGTCTCTTCTTTGGGCGGGCTGGGTTCATACTTGCATAAGGTTGGCGGCTTGTACCGGCTTGTTACATACTCCCTTGGAGAGAAAGCAGGTGGTTGACACTGGTATGAAGGCGGAGTACCTTGTTGCTTTATTTGATGTGACTCACTGATGTCATGTTTGATTTCTTGCTGTGGAGTACTGCTTGGGTTAGAGTGCTGGTAACATAGTCTGAAGTGCGCTGCATGGAATCTTGGTGGTCTTCCTCTAGACCCAGTATGCTGCTACTTATTCTTGGCTCATCATAGACAGCTGCCTCTAATGCTTTTGCAATGGCGGCAGCAGCGTCTCAGTCTACTGCTAGCCTCTCCATGTTAGCTTCTAGGATAGCCCGCTGCATATTCAGAGATGCTTCCTGCTCCATGAACTTCAGATACCATATTTCTTTGATCTCAAATTTATTATAACAAGCCAGGTGAAACTACAAATTGATAGAAATAAACTTCAATCAGTAAAATATTGCATACAACAAAGAAACAATGATCAATAATACAGGATAACACAGCAAGAACTCACTTTTTAAGCTTTCTAAGGGGTGATGGCTAGAGATGAGAAGTACATGGCTTGCTGTTTACTGTATCTTCCCAAAATGGAGGCTGATACACTTCCTGTACAAGTTCTGCCCATAATGCTGTGCTTTATAAAACTTTATTTAAACATACTATTCTACTACAACAATCACAAATATAATGAATAAAGTCTGGAGGACAGAACACTGTGAGCCAAGATTTTATGGCTTTTCGCTGCGCTGTGCACTGTGAGGAATTCTGTGTCCTGTGAAGTTTAGCTTTCTGTGTCTGTGAGATTGTTTACATATCGTAAATTTGTAAGTCTTGACAGTTGATGCTGTAGCCATTGAATTTGTTTAAAACCATTGCCATTTTGTTGTATACCTATGTTATACTAAATATTCACTGATTATTATCACACATGTTACATATTATTATTATTTTATTATACTGTCACAATAAATTATATTTTTATAATCAAATTGTGATTTAATTGTATGGAGTAAAAATCCTTATAAAATGATCTAAGATAATTAAAATAGTGGGTAATTCTCAAGATATCAATTTTGATGTAATAAAAATTATTAAATTAATTTTTGATAAATTTTATGAAAATATTATTTTAATATTTATCACCCCATATCCCAACATGCCCACCCAGAATCCTTTGTGGTTGTAACATCACTGCAGATTTGGGATTTCTGTGGGAAAAGCAAGTCTCATGACTTGACGGGTGTGCAGATTTTTGTTTAACATTGTATTAACTATGTGTGTGTGTGTATATATATATATATTTGTGTTCGGGGCATTCTCATATGATATGGAATACGCTGGTGAAGAGGAGTAAATAAAAGGAATAGTCGGTTGAGGTGTGCCGAAACCAATGTATGTTGTAGGCCGGTAAATAAAGTGGGCTTACATAGAGGAAATATAAATAATGGGAGTGGAGGGTGGGGCTGTTCGTCTAGACTAACAAAGGTAAGTAGGGGAAGGGGGGAGTCCCTTAAGTAGGTCTATAGCCCCTCCCACAACTTCAGGCCATGCCTTCCAATTTGTGTTCGGGACATTCTCATATGATATGGAATATGCTGGTGAAGAGGAGTAAATAAAAGGAATAGTCGGTTGAGGTGTGCCGAAACCAATGTATGCTGTAGGCTGGTAAATAAAGTGGGCAAAAAAAGAGACATATCAAAGCAAAACATTTATTCAGAACCATAGTACATTAGGTAGACATCTTAATGAAAGCCCCCCTAGTCTCTTGGACTGGATGTGGGATGTAAGTGGCATAAGCCGAGGAGTTCCAGCAGCCCAGTGTCTTAATCACATGT